GCTTTACATTTTTATTTGCATTTGACTTTTTTATCAAAAAACTCTTAAAGACGTATTTACGATCATGAAATTTGCTCAAGACTGAAACTGAAACCAAGTCACAGTTTTTCAGTTCAGATACCTACAAGGAAATGAAATATACCTACTCAAAAGAAAATTGAGTCCGTGAGACAAAACAGTAATTGAAACCGCAGCTCCGCAGCCATTCTCTCCGCGCGGCGCGCTGTGAAAAAGAAGGAAACAAGCTCGAAGTGTGAGTATTTACGCTGTGCGGTGCTACGGCGGCGGAGGGCGATGATTACAGTTCTCATTCGGTGTCAATTAGGTAGGTCTGTCATTATGCATGGATACCGGCGCTGGCCATCGCCGTTTTTACACTCGCGCCTCGAAAACAACACGTTCCACACCATCACAAGCGATGCTCTCTTGTGCACGCTCGCACGTTCGTGGTTTTTCTGCGGCGCAACGGCGAAACAGCTTGTGTTATATGTCTCTGGGTTTCTGCATTTGGTAATAAAGGTGAAGCTGAAGCAGAGACACATGCAGACACCATCACAGCTCCAGAGGAGCGGAGTTATCGGGGACAAAAACGTGCAGAAAAACAAAAAAGCCGTCAGGCGAACGTGCTGCGCGATGCTGGAGAGATGAAGAAGTGTATTAGCGCGACCACCGTGCGCATTGAGATATTTTGCCACTTTGGTGCTTTACATGCGGTGTTTTTCAAGTGTAATTTATCACTTTAAAGTCATACCTTGAGGGAAACTAGCGGAAAAAATTCAGTTTTACACTTTTACGTAAAACAAATAATAATACCTACGTGTATCAAACCATTAATAGAAGAAAATATAAAATATTGATCTCTATTTAATAAAATATAAATTAAGTCGGCTTCGATATAAAATAAATTACTCGGGTGTTGCGCTGTGCAAACAGAAATAATTCATCGTGCGCTTATGTTCTGACAAATACGACCATAACTGGAAGTCGAACGCCCCAGCATAAATAATGTGAAGGGGGTTGTTACTCGCGTTGTCGCGACAATGGGGTTCATCAGTCTTGGCGATATCTCTCGACACCTGCTGACCACCTAGTGGGTGTCGTCGATGTCCCACTCGACGCGCAACAATGACACAATATCTCACCGCATCGCCGTCAATCTTGTCCTTTTAATCTGCACCCTCCTCAATTGAACACAAAAAATGCGTTAACAAAGTCCATATAAAATATTATTAATCCACCTGAGACTTGCAATGTGAAAGAGAAGGTGTTTGGACCGCCCGCCAGTGAGAAGCCACGGAGTTAATCAAATCGCGATCCGGTAGGCCTTCCAATCGCAGCGCGCTGATGAAGAACAAGAAGTAGAAGAAGCACGTAGGGTAAACGTGGAGAAATTCAACATCGATTTCATTCATTTTATACGTTTTGTTCATTCATTCTTCCACGCCAGGTCAAAAATTATATCCAAATTGATTTTGTGCTTTGTCATTCGTTTGTAATCAATCAAAGTACCTATTAGGTATTCTCGTGAAAATATTCAAAAGAAGAGATTTCTGTCAAAAACACACTGTCAGTGACAGAAACCATGTGTGAAAATGCAAGAAAATCGTATGTTGTCGTGCATACGATTTAATCTCAAGTTATATGGCGTTAAATTAAAGAAGGGTCCCGCAGGATGGGCACAAACGTGGGGAGCGTCAAGAAATCAGATGCCTTCACAGAAAACTTTAGTAGGTAAACAAAAAAAATTCAAAATTATCGCGAAAACAAGGTAAGAATTTTAAAACCACCTCAAAAACACCACAAAACTCTTCAATTTAAAATTATGCACAAGAGGGTGGAGGTGGATGCGGTATTTTAAATTTTTATAAGTTTTTTTTAGAAGTTGTTTTTGTTTCTTTGTGTTTAACCCTCAAATTTTAAGTGTTTTCTTGTATTTCAGATTGTCTCTTTGGTAGGGTATCAAATGAGTGAAACTAATTAGTATACGAAACGCGAATATTAGTTCCGAGACGTTAACTTAATGCCTTGTGGGGGAAGATGCGGAAAAAAATAAAAGGCGTAGGAAAAAGAGGTGTAGGTACACGCGAATGGCCGCCGTCTCACCGCCGCAGACGGCAGATCCGTTTCGTTTTTTTTATTCGCACCCCGACCGCTCAATATCGACTTTGGCTCCAGCTCCATTTCCACCCTCCTGCGGGGGTGCTGTGTTTCTTTGTTTGTTCGCAGCGGCGGCAATCAACGCGCATAAACGTGGCGCGTTTTTACGGCGGCGCTTTCAAATCGCTCCCTGAGTTGCTATTAAATTAATTTGATTTTTTTCCAACGTAGATGCGCCAAAGCTCAACTTCACAAATGTGTCTTATTTTTAAATTTTGTTGTGACAAGTAGTAAAAATAAAAATGTGTTGCTAGCCGTGTTTCGGCAATGAAGACGACCGCTGATTAAGTTGTTAAATTAATGAGAGGAGCCCGCGTCCTGCATCATTCGCCTTTATGTCGTCGTGGCTCTCCTCGTCGTCTTCATCGTCGTGTCGTTCGCGTCGCCTCGTTGAGCGCGTTCGCGACGACTCTTTAATTTTAATGCGCTGCCGCAAAACACACGCCCATGCCATCGAAAACGCCGAAGAAACTCTTCCCCATTGCGAATGACGCTGGATCGGAGGATCTAATTACAAGCCTCCAAAATGGAAATTAAAGAGATTTAAAAACCAAAGCATCAAGTACTCTTTTATATTCTGTTTAATTTTTGCCTTTGTATAACATAAAATACAAGACAAACAAAAAAATCGATAACGATTGGGTTTTTAGGAAGACATTTAACAGAATTGTTTTTTAGATATTACTTTTATTGTTATTTTTATGATTTTTTGGAGTTTAATGTCTGTTTTAACGTTTTTGTTTTGCACAAAACTGTAGACCCAAATAAAAATATATTTAATGCTTATGATGTTATCAAAAATGTTTGAGTTATCATAACATCAAGATAGATATCTAGTGTTTATTTAAGACTTAAACCTAAATTTCTTCAGATTATGATCGCATTAGTTGTGGGCTTTTTGATGGTTGCAAGTTGGCATTCCTTGACCAAGTTATCATTACGACATTACGAGCAAATAACCAACAATAACAACTAACGTTGGCAACACCATTTTAAATTCGTTCTAATTACAGTCATTTGTTAGTAAATTATCAAAAACGGTATCATTTCTTGGCTTGCGGTGTGCGCCTTTGAAACGCGCCCGCAATTTCTGCAAATGCAGCAAACGCTTTGTGGTGAACTTTGAAGTAATCACAATGTTTGCGTTTGTACCTGCGCTGTTATTAGTGCGTGTTTTCACAACGCATGCGAGTAAATTACAAAATTTACAAAATTGACCACCACAAAGTTGCAGATTGCAAATTGAACATTATATTCTGGATATTTACATTTGCTGCAAGTACGCTGTTTGTTTATTTGATGCGCGTGAAATTTTCTTTGAATATTAAGCAATCAAAACCATAAAACCAACATAAAATGGAAATTTTCCACCGCGATCGTAGACAATTTAACAACTTCTTGGAAACATTTCCAATGTTTGCGTTTAAATTTAAGTTTGGTTGGTATTATCACAAGCCGGAAGAAATTCAGCAACGAAATCATCTGCCGGCCGCGATTCAGTACCTACTTTATTGCTTCATTTCACTTCATTCACCGCACATGCCACGTTCATTTTATTTGCTTTACTTATCACTATATTGTTTATCTCCTCGTATACGAGTGGGCATTGTTGTCGCGGTCATCGTTAAGTTTGTCGTCGACGTGCTCGTGAAAGAGGACGATCATGAAGCGCGCATTGCTAAATAAAATTTAATGGCGGCGAAATGGGCACTGATAAATGGACGCCGCAACGAAGATAACGCGACCGCAAACGCAACGCGACGCAGTCGAGTAATAATGATAAGCCTTACCTGCAGGCGCACGGTGTTTTTATAAGTCGCTATCAATTTGCACGCGAATAATAAACCACGCGGACGTTAAAAACACAAAACTCGAGGTAGTTTGCGCCAGCATAACAACAACACAAGCCAAACAGTTTTACATTGTTTGTTATGGTTACAACAAACAATGTAAAACTGTAATATTTAGGTGACAAATATTGTTTGATTTATATATTATTTTCTTGTATATGTTTTGGTGTAATGAAACAGTACAAGTTTGGTAGTGATTGCGATTTTTTCAAAATTTTAACAAATTACGATCTATTTTAGTATACATAGCGACACCTCTAGGCAATTTTTAGAACTAAATAAATTCAAATTTTAACTTTGCAATACATAGTGCGCCATCTGCCGATTATAAAAGTAACTTCACTTCTTTACAGGTAGAAATCACAAAAGTTATCACACAAGCAGGAAATTTTAACATGGAAATCTAAATTTTCCAAGCTCCCTGCAGGATTCTTACAAAAAATAATAGTTGCAAAATATATATGTAGATAGAGTATCATAAAACAATTTTTTTCTTTACCGAAATTTAGATATTGATTGGCTGAATTCAAATACTATTTGTTGATGATCCCTAGTTTTGTTCATTTTGTTACTAAAATAAATTATGATTGTCCTTATTTTTTAGTCACCAATAACAATTAAATGTCTTCGTAATTGTACAAGTCTATTATTGGCTATTTGAGAGCTCTTAATTAAAGTTAAGTTTCTTATAGCTTAATGTAATTTGAAGCAATTTTAATTGTTTTTAATAATCGAGTTAATCACACCTTTTCTATAGCAATTAAAACATCGTTTTGTTCGTTCAGACTAAGCTGAAAGGCATCAATTAAATTACTAGTTCTCTGGCATTCGGACACTTGGCGGTTTCATTGAAAGAAATCCAAAAACGTGTCTCATTAACACAGTAACACCGCTCCAGCGTTGGCCTGGCATGCGTTACATCAATTACGTCATCTTAATCACGTTTCCCACTCAACTTAAAATCTCGCGCGTTTTGATGTTTCGAATAGCACATGGCATGGCTCAGTAGCGTTCAGTCATTAGCTAAAACGCGCAAGATTAACTCGCATCAGTTAAGAAAACAATAGAATACCAAGTTTAAACTAATGGCAACTTTATAATATTATTAGTAAACATATTGCTAAATTTATTTTAATAATAAATTGAGTTTAAAATGGGGTGGAGAAGAAGATGGAATCGATTTTTGCGGTTTCCACCGTTTCCTGATTTTGATTGCTGTGGACCTGAACATGGCAGGTCCTTCCCAATGTACGCACTGCCAAAACCACGAGAGGCATCAGGTAATTTAATAATTTTTACATTCTTGCACTTTATTTGTTAAACAAACTCTACTTTGTTTAAAAAAAAGAAATCACACACATTTTTTAACGTTTATTATTTCACAGAAGTAAACGCTCATAAACTATACTTTAAGTGATTGAATGCCAAGTTCAATTTATTTTAAAGCATGAGTAGGTATAAGAAGGCCACAAATCTATTAAATTTTTATTAAGTATATAGTTTTATACCAATATAATGTACACAACACATTATTAAAAATAAATTTTATCAAAATTGAGCAAATATAAAAAAAATATTAAAGTGTGAAAAGTCTTAAGTAAATATCATGTAAATTGCAAAGTATGTAGGCAGCTGTTTTAGTTAGCAATGTGGCGCTATAAAATATCGAATGTTTGTTTTTGATCGCTTTCAAGTTGTCGGTTATATTTAAACTGACATCAATTTACGTCGAAGCACACTGCAGAGAATAATTTTTGCGTTTCAAATTCAACTTTGATTTTCTGAAATCGGTTTCAGATGTTAATTAAATACAAACCAGATGAAACAATATTCGTGAACGTTTTTCATGTTTAGATTTCAGATTTACGTACTCATATAACTTTTAGCAGTTTATAGATAACTTATATTTTAGTCTACAAGTTGAATAGAAAAATGTTGTGTATTTATAAACTTAGTAAATTCGAAAACCAAAAAAAACTTTCTCAATGACTCATAACCGTCTAGAATTTCATGATTAATAATTTCCAATTGATTATCAATAATGCCTCAAACATATTTCTCATATAAATTTCAATTTAAACCACATAACACATAAGTAATTGTTGCACTTTGACCTGCGAATCTAAATATTCTTATAACAAATATCTCACGAATTGAATCACGTTCGATGTGACTTTATTCCTGCCATGACACGGTTATTATCAGTCATGACCAATACCACTAATAAATATCTGAAGCAATTTTAATTGTTTCAAACATTTAATTATATTCTAAAAAACTCGTATTCATTGGAATTGAAATTTGAAAATCAATTATTGTTTTAATTGTTATTACACAATAAAAGTAGAACAAAGCACTAAAATATACTGTAATCATTATGTAATACAAAGCAAACTACAATTACAATAATTACAATAACAGTTTACATACTGCAGTCCTATTTTTTTAATATTTGCATTGAAAAAATTGCAGATGTTAATCAAATCATGTTTAATGTGTTTACAAAAACAAAGTGTTTTGGTTTTTTCAAACTGTAAAACAATAAAATGATACAATACTAATTGTTAAAAATAATTTTCAATGCAATTGTTATAAATGAAATACAAGGAGAATGTCATAAAACGATTTTTATGGGTCTAGCCAACTCATACCATTATCACGAAAATCGGATGAGTTTGTTTTCTATTTTTGTGTTTTTCAAACAAATATGTGTCACTTGCATGGTCACACTACTAATTATTAATAGAGGTTTAAACGCACTTAAAGTTGGTAGTGTGTTAAACCGTCTGTTTCTATACATACATTCAAATACACGCTGCTGATCACAAGTGATCGAAGCGTGGTGAGCCCAAATTTGGCATCGTCCAAGTGCGCCAGTTTCCAGCGCTCGCAATAAAACTCAATGTGCATAGGCGTTTTTGTTTGGCATTTTATGCAAAAAAGTTTCCTTGGATATTTTCTTTTCGCGCGCCGCACAGGCCTCAAGGTTACGTGTTCGTTAGAAATAACTGCACTATAACTAAGTGCAAAATTTATGTAAATTACTCATTTTGTCACGTGGCGAGAACAATGTAAACAAAATATTTAAAATATTTAACGATAATTGTTACAACATTATGTGCAGATGTTACTGATGGAATACCATTCATCGATTCGGAATCGGACACGGATATCTTAATCGTACGAGGTATTGATCCTAAAATTGGAATTAATGGATCACTTCATCGCACTTCAAAATTTGAACTGATGTCTAGAGAATTTGAACCATCTTTGGTTGTTCGCAGAGGACAATCATTCATCATAGATATTGTTTTAAACCGGCCTTATAATGATACTGATGGAATATCTTTCATTTTTACCATTGAAGGTACCAAAATATTTTCTCCAAAATTTTAGTAAAAACTTACTTATACTATCTAATAACTTTCAGATGATGATAAACCCTCACATGGAACCTCCTCCCTCGTTGCAATCCCACTTTCTATGAGTTATAGTAGTCATCGTCCATGGAATGTAGTTTTATCAAAATCGGACTTAAATACTATTTCAGTAGAAATTACTCCATCCCCAGATTGTATTGTCTCCTGTTGGAAAATGGACGTGGATACCAAAAGCTACAGAAACCGCCCATACAGTTACACTTGGCCCACGAAAATATTTATTTTGTTTAATCCATGGTGTTTAGATGATCAAGTATATTTAGATTCCTATGTTTGGAAAGATGAAGCTGTATTAGAAGATACAGGATTAATCTGGCGTGGCACCGCCAATCGAATGAGACCTACCATTTGGAAGTACGGACAATTTGATAAAGATGTTTTAGAATGTTCTCTGTATTTGATTAAATACGTTGGAAAGATTACTGGGAAAAGTCGAAGTTGTCCGATTCTGACTTCCAGAGCTTTAGCTGCTGCGGTAAACTCCATGGATGATAATGGTGTACTAATGGGAAACTGGAGTAATGACTTTGAAGATGGTACCGCTCCGACTAAATGGGTTGGAAGTGCAGAAATCATGCAAAAATACTACAAAAAGAAGAAAAGTGTTAAATATGCGCAGTGCTGGGTGTTTGGCGGTGTTCTAACAACAAGTAAGTCTTTTATTTGATCATTGCTTCAATTTCAATCATTTTTTTTATAGTTTGTAGAGCTGTGGGTATACCAAGTCGTGTAATTACTAATTACTCCTCGGCACATGACACCCAAAGTTCTCTAACCGTTGATTACTTCATGACCGATAAAGGCGAGATCATGACTGAAATGAACTCCGATTCAATTTGGAACTTTCATGTCTGGAATGAGGTGTGGATGGACCGGCCAGACCTCGGTGATGGTTATGGCGGTTGGCAGGCGATTGATGCCACTCCCCAGGAGCAAAGTGAAGATATGTATAAATGTGGACCTGCTTCAGTCATAGCAGTTAAACGTGGGGAAATAAGAAAGCCATATGATAATAGTTTCCTATATGCCGAGGTTAATGCAGATAAAGTTTACTGGCGTTATGATGGACCAACACAGCCATTAAAATTAATTCGTAAAGACACAGAATCAATCGGTAAACTTATCTCTACAAAACAACCTGGAAAATTTGATAGATTAGATATTACTTCGTCTTATAAACATGCTGAAAGTACTACTGAAGAACGTGGTACTATGTTTGCTGCCCTAAAAGAAGCTGAAAACATGTTTTCTCGGTATTATTTAAATGAAGAATTCAATGATATTTACTTTAACTTTGAATTGAACGATGATATTGTCATTGGTCAACCTTTTAAGATAACTCTTCTTATTAGAAACAAATCTTTAAGCAAAGACTATAGAATCATTGTATATTTACGAGCTGAAGTTGTGACCTACATGGGTAAAGTTGGCGACGCAGTCAAAAAAGAAGACTATAATTTCACCCTTGCGAAAAGTACGATGAGGGAGCTTGAGGTGACTGTCCGCTATGACGAGTACTACAAACGATTGTTAGATCAAGCCGCATTTAACATATCATGTCTAGCTAAGATCGTTGATATTGATTATGATTATTACGCACAGGATGACTTCAGAGTACGCAAACCTGATGTGAAAATTCTGACGGATAATCCTGTTGAAGATGTGGAATGTCATGGGACAGCATATCTTGTAAATCCATTGCCGAATACATTGCACAAGTGCCAGTTTAAGATTGAAGGACCAGGGATCTCGGAAACCATCAAAGTAAAAGATGCGGTGGCAGCTAATGGTGGAAAAGCTACGGTTGAATTCACTTTTATACCGAAACAGATTGGTAAACATACGATTGCAGCTAAATTTACATCAAAAGAGTTGGATGATTGTGATGGATATAGAACTATTTATGTTTCAAGTAATGATATCACCAGGATTAATGAAACTGTTACACCAGAGGACTGAATTATGCCAAAAAGTTTTGAAAAACTTACAATCAGATAGTAAATTTTTTCTTATATATCATACATTTTGTAGAATAAATTAAACATTGTGAAATATTAATCATTAACATTAATTATAGTGAAAAAGTTAATGTTCACTAATTTTGACATAAAATTTTAGATATTTATGAAATAACTGCCAAGATAAAATTTGTTATTGATATATAATCTTTAATAATTTAGAATTAAGACAAAATCAGTATTTTTAGTTGAGATGTATTACATGTGTAACCCTAAATGCCAATAAATATTTAATATATTTTTAAATTAATCCCTTTTAGCTCTAAATTATGATTTCATCATTTTTATAATTTAGCTTCATCGTTAACTTGTCGCAATACTGCGAAAAATGACGCGGCTTTCTTCATAAACTAGAAATCAATAATTTACTTATTTATATGTCTATTTTCTTGTAGGAAAGTGATAATTATATAGATTGTAGTTATAATTACCTCTAGCCAAGTTTCCAGAGAAATAGGCAAAACTCCGCCCGCTTTAAGATAGTCATTGCGAGTCATTCGAAGTTGTACAACTTTGAAAATTCGCAGAAATACTTTATCGCAAAAATACCAAGGCATATCATATAAAATATCTCTTAATTCTTCAACCTTCAAAAAATACATATTCATATGATTAAGTAATTACCCTAGAAATAGTATTTATTACTTTATTGGTCAATTGTTCGCCGGCTAATGTATTGATGTAAATTTGACCAACAATTCCAAAGAAGTATTGAAATAATGCCGGATATAATGCTTTGTTATCAGTCTTAAAAACATATTAAATTACGCACATCAGCATTTTTAGTATTGGTATAATTTACTTACAGTTATCCATGTGAAAAGTACAAAAATCATGTAGACAAATAAAAAGTTCACTTCAACTGCAAGAATCGGAGAAATAAAAGAATAAAATTCATCTCTGAAATTTAGTAATTCTTGATGATGTTTGATACACATTTTAAAATTGGATATGGCCACTTTTTGAAACTTGTCAGTATCTTTCAACTTATTAATCTTTACAATATAACGTGAGCTAAAATTTTAAAGCAAAACAAATAATTAATTTATAGCAAGTATTTAAAAATACTTTTCTTTATCTTTTAGATACTCATCAATTTCTTCTTGAGGCATACCACACTGCAATAAAGCGTTAGGAATAATATAAGTAAAATCCTCACCTATAAGAATTAATATTAAGAACTATGAAATATGTAATTAATTTTTATATACAATACCAAGTAAATTAAATTGGTGTGTCATTAATACGTTTGCACAAACATTATACATTTCAATATTAGCGAAACTAGAAGTCATAAAGACTTGTGCACAACTTTGGATCGCAACAGTTGGATAGTAATATTCATCTGGTGACCAATCATAAAATAACCACATTGGCAGTGGTAATTCTCTAAAATTGTATAATAAATAACTGAAATTTTCGTATTTTTAACAATCACCTTACCTAACTTCATTGAATAATGGTGCAAAAGCTAAAAACAAACCAGCACCGCCAACAAAAGCCCACCATCCAAATAAGCACCAGTCCGAGATTCTTCTTCCACGTTCCATTGTCACAGGATTTGGACTGAGTGAACTGCTTTCTTTCATTACGAAATTCATTCTCATTACGAGAAATTCCACACGTTTGTGATTAAAGATAAAATATGTTGATCTTAGGGATATACTGGTGTATAAAACTAGCAATAAAAGGTTGGGAAATAAATATATTTTAAACCTTTTTATTGTTCGGTTATTATAAACCAACTTACGCAGGTTTAAAATATTCATGGCAATATCAGAAATCTGCACGAATCCATAAACTCGTATCCCCACATAACTGAAAATCAAAGTACACGCAAAACAAAAAAATATAAACACTCTATACAAGTAGTAAAAGAGTTTAAAAATCAATGGCCAATTGGGTTCTGGTCGAAACTGAGCAAAAACCTGAAGCATAATCAAGTTATTCGCGAAGTACTTCTTCACTTTTGTCATTTTTATAATTATGTTGTATAATACACAGTCAAGAGTAAAACAGAATATCGAAACATAACTTACCTTTTATAGGTGTCACAAAAATGTATAGTTATGAAAAAGTATAATGACTTAATAAGTGTTTTAAAAGTTAATAAGTCGTAAAAAAGTCTGTGGTTGACACCTTGGAATAAGTTCAAAAGTGCTGTAATTACAGAAAGTAATAATTTCAATTCAGCGTAGCTAGACTAAATCTAATTGGGATTTTAATAAAAGAATACAATTGTCACTTGTAAGCCACAATTGAAACTTTATAAGATATTCATCTCTACTTCTAAAGTTTTCTAGCAGTGCCAGGATTAAAACCTTAATCTTCTCCATTAACTTGTCGCAAAACAGCGAAAAATGATGCTGCTTTCTTCATAAACTACAAAAATTCAATAATAAGCATAGAGTAACATATTTTTTAAATAATTTTTACCTCTAAAAATGTTTCTAAAGACATATCCAACAGTTTCCCAGCTTTTAAATAACCATTTTTTGTCATACGCATTTGTATAATTAGGAAATCCTTTCTGAATTCTTTATCGCAAAAATACCATGGTTGATCATAAAGTATATTTCTTAATTCGTCCACTTCCATTGTCAATTTTTCCCCGAAAACACCCATCATATAGATTTGACAAACAGTTCCACCAAAATATTGACTTAGAGCGAAATAAATGGTGGGATCATCAGTCTAAATAATAATAAATTAATATTAAAGACGTTTAAATTCTGTACTTTGTGATTGTAGTTGTAACTTACAATTGTTACCGTAAATAACGAAAATATTAAATAACCCAATAAAAATAATAACTCAGTACTCAATTGGAACGAAATAAACCCATAGAATTCATCTTTGAACGTGAGCATATCTTGATGATGATGAATGCAAAATTTTAAGTTATCCAGAATAGCACTTTTAAATTCTTTAGTATCAGCAATCTTTTGAATTTTGTTTATATATAATTTACTAAAAATAAAAATAAACAAAAATATTATCACAATAATATATTCTACAAACTCTTCTCTATTGTTCATAAAATATTCCACATCAGTGCGTGGCATTCCTATTTTATGTAACGCATTAGAAAAAATGTGTTTGAAGTCATCACCAAGCAACTTGAATTGATAGCGTAATAAAATAGTAAAACATGCGTTAAACATTTCAATATTAGCAAAACAGGAAACCATGAATATCTGAGACATGGTTTGGAATACTAATGTTGGCATATAATATCTATCATCAGTCCAATCATAGAATAACCAGTATTGTAACGGTAGTTCTCTTAAAATATTTATAAAAATAACAAAAATTGTTGAATTACATGAGTATTATATGTACTTCTTTCTTTTGAAGAACGGACTTAATGCCATTCCCATTCCAGCACCGATTGCGAACAGATTCCAAGCATTGTGCATGCGATTAGATACAGTACGACCTTGTTTCATTGTATATGGTTCAAAACCCAAAGATGCCTTTTCTCGCATCACAGTATTCATTCTCATGATTAAATATTCGACGACATCAGAATAGTAAACAAAGTGAATATTCCTTAAAGCAATACTAGCATAGATAACTACAAAATAGTATTAGTAGTAGTGTTTACAAAATTAATATTTATTGTTTTATTTTACGGATATTGACGATGTTGATAGCACTGTGTGCAATCTCTCCGGTATCATCAAGAACAACCGCTATTGCACTAAAAGCCAAAGTGGCTGTGAAACAAACATAGCAACAAAATCTTTCCAAGTAGTAAAGAATTTTGATTATTAGAGGCCAATGAGGTTCTGGCCGGTATTGAGCAAACAGATGAAGAAAAAAGACGTTTTTCCCAAAAAATCTCATAATTACAAATTTCAAAGTCACAATTTCACAATATTAACATTAAACTTCAGCAGTTAAGAACAGTAAACTCCTTAAATACTCTTCAAAACAAAGAAACAATTCAAGTTTTGAAGAAAATTGCAGGTTTAATATTTAATCAATGCAATTACAATTCACTTAATTCTAAAGTGAATTTCGCAAAGTCCAATTAATTTTCAATAATTTATAACTTTGTTGCATTGGCACATGTTCAATAAAATATAAATATAAAAATATTAGTTTTAAATATAACTTTTTATGTAATCTGAATAGTTTTAGATCCGCAGATACCATGAAGTTGTTTCGATGTAAACGTAGCCACTACTTTTCGCTGTCCTTGTCGCCTCGGAGTAAATACTCCTTCGAAAGTGACAGTTTCACCTGGTCCTACATCGGGATACGCGGTTACTTCCGGTTTAGTCACTCCTGGACCTTCAATGGAATAGGTGCATTCAACTAGCGAGTCATCAGCTAGTGGATTAACAAATCTACAAGTGCATTAATAAGCAAATTATTGATTCCTAACTTTTGCTATGTGATTAACTTACGAGCAAGTAACAACATTTTCTTCTCCCACATGAAAATCATTTTGTGGTTCAACCGCGATTGTTGGTTTGGTCATGGTGAAATCATCTTCCTCACTCCATGTCTGCCTGGTTTCCTTTACATTAGCAATGGAGTAAATTTTAATCAGATTGTGATCTACTAGCTTATCCATGTAGTCATCTTTTGTGACATGTATTCTAAGCACTTCCGTTTCCCCTCCTTTTACAGCAAACACTCCCTGAGCCCTTTTAATAGGTTTAGCTGTTGCTCCATTGTAAAAGACACTCGATGCCGATAAAACAGCGCTAATATTCCTGATGTGATTTGAGTTGTTTTGAATATTCACAACCACATCGAAACTATCACCGAATGGGATGGCATCAATATCAACTAAGTCAAAGAAAACATCTTCTTGTTCAGGTGTGGGAATTTCATAGAACTGCTGTGCTTTCGGGACACCTTTCACGGCATTATAGACTGCTAAACGTTCTGCTTCAGTTCCTTCAGCGTTTTTAAATGTTCTGGTGAGATCCATGAGATCAGAATCTCCTTCGTCATCATCTTCGTTGGGAGTTTTAGTTACAATTTTTCTACCAACACTATAAATTTAATTAGAATATTAGTTTTATCGTAAAAAAGGTAAAAATAGATAACTTACTGATACTGATTAATTGACATTCTTGAAAATCCCCAATCAGATGTCTCGTCTTCTTGGAAGTTGCAAATATCAGCGTTTACTTCAGAAAACACAAATGGAGTATCGTACAAATATCCAACTTCACCTCGTCTCACAGCTTCAACGGAAGCAGGCCCACAACGAAACATCCCATCACTTTGTTCCTGAGGTGTGGAATCAATAACCTGCCATCCGCCATAACCAACCGGGAGATCAGGACGTGTCATCCAGACATCGTTCCATACATGGAAGTTCCAACAACTATCATTACAATCTCCATCCGGACCGTTCTCAATTTTGTTTCCAAACAAATCATAATATTTATCAACCGTGAGAGAGCAATTAGTGTCATGAGCACTGACATAATTAGTGGTGGACCTACAAGGTATGCCCAATGTCCTGCAAACTGTCACTACTGCAGCAGAAAACACCCAACATTGACCGTATTTCACGGGTTGTCCACCTGTTCTTAAATATTGATCCATGATGGAAACTGATCCAGTCCAAGCGTGGGGACTGGTACCATCAGAGTACTCGCCATCCCAACGACCTTCTAGCAAACCATTATCATCCACAGAATTAATCTATAGATGCAAACATAATTTTGGTATAAAATTCTTTAAAATTCATGATTTGATTAACATACCACTGCAGAAATGGCCCTAGCAATCAAAACAGGACTTCCTCTATCAGCAGGAGCTAACCCCGATCGTTCCAAGAGCAAACAAGCTGCTGGTAGGGTCACATCATCAAACTGACCAAAGATCCACCTCTTTCCGCTTGGTTTCTTAAAAGTTCCACACCAAATCTTTCCATTTTCATTCAAAATATACTCTTTACGTTCTTCCTCATTCTCCATATAAACACCATCTTGTGGGCACCAAGGATTAAAAAGCACGTAGATATCATCTTCTACTTTGTAATCATTACGAGGTTGTTGGCCTCTAATGTTGGTTTGAATTGTGCACGACCAGATTCCCACTTGAGCATTCGGAGGAATATGTACTTGAAGAGTAATAGTGTCACCTTCGTGGCTGGTCATGCATAGGCCCCATTTTGTTGGGTTTCGAGGAAGATGTTTCTGATCAATGAGTAAAGGAAGGATTACACGAGTTCCTTTAAGAACGTGCGGCTTAGCACCTAATTGCAATAAAAATATAAAAATTAAAAAATTTTAAATATTAAAAATCAGCAGAACTTACCAAAGCCAAAACCAATGCGAACAATGTCTTCTTCTGGGTTAAACTCGCGATTGAAACGAACCGCGAAGTAAATATTACATCCACGGCGAAAAATCGGTGTAGGCATGTCTGGGTTTTGAACTAAATCATATTCTTCAGTATTGCAAGCCTTTGCATTGTCTTTAGGATAGAATTCAGTAAGTTGCACTTCCAACGGATCCATTATTTACAATTCTTCAAAAACACGCACAAAATATAAACAATTAAGTAAACTTGTTTAAATTTATATTTTTTAACTCACTATCTTAAAATTTTTACCGTTGGTTTTGAATAATTTAAGTTTTATGCTAAATTCCACTGTAAAAATATACAACCAGTTTGTTTTAAGTTTTAACTTTTAAGCTCAGGCAAACTATGCGTGTGTATTCGGTGCGTGTTGGACCGAAACTAATTTTTGGCATCGACGAGCGCCGTATTTTATGCACCATTGGCTCAAGATCAAGAATTAACTGCTGCATGCGCAGGAGCAGATTCAACTTAAGTTGGTTTTTATATGACGCATACTTTTTTCACACAATAATACCTTGACTCTGTGAACGTGCGTAGCGATTCTTCGAAATCAATTTCCGTTTTGTTTAAGTTTACTGTGACTGTAATACTGATTGTTTTGATGTTAATGAATAAACTTGTTACTTTTACAGTAATGTGTCGTCATCACATATACTACACCGCATTTATAGTTATATTATACACCGAAACATTGTTAGGAAATGAATAAATGAAGTCCTGGATGACGACATATGAGATGAGCAATTCTTTTATTTCATTTCATTGTGTATTTTGTATGGCCTGTTGTACTTTGATTCACGTCTCGTGGTTAGTTAATTCATCAGACGTGTGTGATAGAGTAATGAATTTAAATTGCGGTTTACTAACGCCTCAATGATTTAATCTTAATAATTATAATAATTATCTAAAAAAACATAAAGTACATTAATGTTTGCTTTATTTGCAAATGCAAAAACTTTAAATGTTAATTTTGAATTGAATATTCATGTTTTTCCTAATTTTTTTCATCACTAGCGAACAATTTTGTCATTATTTCAGATGTTGAAACAGTTGGAAGTTGGAATAATTGAATAATCGCAATAAATAGCAACCAGGATACGTAACGTGGCATGAAGTACGTATGCATCTTGCATTGTACGAAAGTATTAATAAATATTATTCGTGCAAGTCGTGCGAGAAATTTGTGTTGACGTCGGGATGTCGAGAACTAGCAAATTTGCAAATTCGCAATGAATTGAATAATTGAGTGAAATAAATGGTGATTAACGACGATCTATCACCGCGATAATTATCTAATAGCACACTACTGAATAATTACATAATTACTTTATTGTTATTTTGCAAGTGGCGCTTAATTTATTAGCTTATATCTACGTTCTTTGTCTTGAAGCGATGTTATTGCAAAGTCAAAGTCAAACTAATTAGTATTCTTAAAGTGCATTAAATAATAAACGGGATTATTATTTTGTTTAATGACATAGCTAAAACATCTTTAACATAAGTAATAAAATTGAACAAAAACATTATTCACACAAATATATTTAAAAGCTATTACGTGTTGATTTATTGTTTACATTAAATCACATAAAATGCGAATTTAATTAATACTTAATCAAGAATATGTTTAATCAATTATCATAGTTGAAATCGTAGTTTTAGTGCAGACATTACGGAATGTTGATAATTTATTACTATTTAAGAAAACAGGATAGACTAGATCTTTAGATAAAACGATGTTATTGCAAAAACATAAAATCATTAACTATTTGTGTTGTTCTAATGTTGTTTACTTTATTTTTGTCGTAATTAAATGTGTTTTTGCTAGACAATTTAAATGCCTTGAATGCATCATTTCGGACACATCAAAAGTATCTATGAAATATCTAAGAATAGTTTAGAGCTGAAATTGTGTTGTTAAACTGATATAGCTTGGAGAAACAAAGCAATTACTGTTTTAAATTTAATTATGCTTACTAATTAATGGCCACGAACATGACAGTATTTTTAAAGAGGTAAAAATGTTCAAAAACACCTTCGATTTGTTGAAAACTAGTAATTTAACTGTCATTTCGCTATTTTTTAATTTTCTTGCGCAAATTATAATCAAACACTGCCTATTTTTATATAAGAAACTTGCCCAAAACATTAAACATGTTGTGTAACTTTATATCCAAACCATAAGAGAGGAGTAAACTGATTGTCAATAAATAATAAAAATTACATCTGCGGCGTTACCTTGACAAAGAATTCATCTTGACATATACAACCTTGAACGTATCAATGGATTTAATTTGGAAAAACACGCAATAGACTATAACTTCACAAACAAAACACGCATGAAAACGATTTATTCATTTTTTGAATAAAATTCCAATGAATATTAAGTGAATTGTGCGTATACGAGTAACAAAATCGTGTTCAAATATTTAAATTTGTTGCTAATATTTTATTTGTGTTCTATCATGCTTTATTCTCTTTTTCTGTGGTATTATGCATTTGTCATAAATAGCAAAAAGCATAATATAAATTGATAATAAACATCGTTGATCATTGAAAACTTGTTTCCTTTTATGTTTAAACTTGTAAATTAAGTGTATTCAAAGATTATTGTTGTTTAAAAACCTGCAATGATGAAATCACTCTGATAAACTGCAAAAATGCGCATTACTAAGCATTTTCGCAGAAGCATTATGTAGGTCAACATAATTGCATTACTTCGGAAATTACAAAATTGACCTTAATTTTTGGGATTTACCAGAATTAACCAAAACTCTAACAGATTTATTCAACCTTCGAATAATAAATCGAAAACTACAATTATAAATATTCTACGAAAACCGCACTGGTAAGTATAATATGCCTTTAACTAAAATTAATTTATCAAAATTCGATATAGTGATAAGTGGGCAGCAATAAAATTGATAAACTTTCAGTTTATTCGGTTTATCAAAATTAATTACGTACAAATAAAAACATAAATACGATGAACTTTTACTTACTGTTGTTTTATCTGTTATCAATTCTGTACTGTTGGCACAAATTTTTTAGTGTTAAATTTACCAAACAAATTCACTGATGTAATGCAAGCCAATTAAATATGGACATGTGATAGAAATATTTGTTATTTAATAGCGAACAAAGCTGGAGCGCTTTGAGTCAAGTTCTAAGCACAACTAAACAGATTTATTACAATTTTTATATCATATATATGATTTAATAGCTGTGATTGAAGTTTATGTTACAATGTTAGTCTCCTGACCAAAGCCGTCGAGAGCTAGCGCGGGCCCCGGGAAAAAAACCGCGGGCCCCGGCACTCGTCAATTTTTCGCTAATTTTTTTGTGTTTGCGATTTAAGAGAGACTTTACTGCCTGCAGCAAGTTGATGCAGCGCTAGGAGACAGCGCGCGGGACACATGCGTTAAAAACGTTGTTTACACCGAATCGCAGATAACAGCTTTGTATACAAAACTATTCTCGTGCCCATGTTTGTCTATAAATATAAAAATAAGCCGTATAACTCGATTTTATGATTTTTAGTGCATCCTAGTGCCATCTATGAATTCAACAGATACTAGTTCTACAATTTAGACTATTGCTGGGGGTGCTTGATAATTATTTTCGACGTTTTTTGATAGTGCATATCGTCTAAACGAAAAGCGCTAGAATCCATTGAATTGCTGATTATGAAGGATTGGAAAATTCTCTATCAGATAAAATTTTAAAATAACTTAATTTAATGATACTTTAATTTAATAATAAAAACGCGACTGAAAGTGCTAAAAATTACAATTTTTCAATTTTTTACGATTTATTTCAATAGCGAATATCTCGTAAGTGAATACGAGTCACTTCTACCGCTGCCCTTGTACGGTGCCCTGAACACGAGTCACCTCTACCGCTGCCCTTGTACGGTGCCCTGAACACGAGTCACTTCTACCGCTGCCCTTGTACGGTGCCCTGAACACGAGTCACTTCTACCGCTACCCATGTACGGTGCCCAGAACACGAGTCACTTCTATCGACACCCTGCTACGGAAAACCAATTGAAACTCAACTATAAAATTGCGATTAATTGTAATATAACTAAATAAACAAGGAAAAATTAACGTTCTTGACATATTCGAGTCAATAGACGATAATTGTGCATATCTTTTAAACTAAAAGCAATAGCGACCAACGGATTGAAAGTTATGAAAGATTGGAAAATTCTGCATTAGATAAGAATTTAAAATAATTTAATTTCGTAGGATAAAAGGACCAAGAACCGTTAAAATATTGTGTATCCCAACCAAAAAATTGAAACAGGTTGACAATAAACAAATGTGTACGAAGTTCGTTAAATTCTGCAAATGGTCATTTCTATGCATGTTTTCATTACAATAGTTTTGTTTTTATTCTCAAGTATATCAGTTGCTAGGAGACTTCCCATTGTCTATTTCTTTCTATTTCTCCACCCAACACAAGTTCAATACAAACAAAACAATCAAAACTTCAACCACAACATTTCGGCTTCGGCTGCTTGTCGATTAAGAATTCATCAGATTGTTGATCATTTAAGGCGCGTTGAAAGACTGTGATCCAATTATTAATTTATAAAGAGAATTACAATCATTGACAGTCAAAGTAAACTAATAAAATGTTCTGTGTTTTGGACATCTATAAACGAAACCTTGAAATTATATATAAAACAACGTTATGTTCCAAAGCAACTTTTGTAATAATCATAACAACCATTGCAGCTATCGTCTTTCCGTTTATCTTCGCATACCGAAGTCGTGGTAAGTCAAATAATATTAAACTTTAATTTAGCTGACCAACATTTGAATATTTTAGGATTTTGGTTAAAACACGACACATTCTATGAACAGCCTAATGTCCGCTTCAAAGGAGAATACTTTTTTGTTGGCTTCACCAATGATATTAGTAACGTTATCATCTGTAACAACATTTACGACTTTCCAAAACTGAGAAAACTTGATAAATGCTCAACTTTTAAAGTTTTTATTAGCAAAAACTTGTGATTTCCAGATGTTTATAAATGTATATTTATAGGTAAAAGAAATTGACAAAAACTACGATGGAAAACCTGACACTCTTGAATTTCATATGGAACTCACCTTTGCACCAAATGTACATTATCTGCAACATTTCATATTAATTTTACCACTAGATTACAGATTACAAGTAATATTTTTTATATTAATTAAGTTCATTTGATATTAAATGTTTTATTATGGTATGTACAATCATTATTAACATTCTTCTTTCTGCATTTGCAGACAACATGTCCATTAAAAATGCAATCAGCAATCATTTTACAACAAACAATCCTTCCAAGAGCTAATCATCTAACGATAACAGCAAATTTAATGTTAAAACAAAAAGCTCCACTGCATTGCTACCCAAAAGTGACTGATAAACTTCTTAATAATATTATCATGATTCAAGAAACACATTCTTATAATGATAACTTGGATAACTTTAACGTTAACAAAATAATCAACAACTATTTACAACGAAATTGTAAGTGATATTCTTACTACTTCTTTCAAACAATTTTCAAATTTTAAAAACTCATTTCTAGTTACAACTCATTTATCAGAAATCTACACATCCTACGACTTAACATCGGAAAACTTTAAGTTACACCTTCTTGTGGATTATCCAGAACAAGCTGTTTACTATCGCCCCGGGTTTTGGCAGGTCTTAAAATGGGCTTGGATACAATACCTAGCTATTTATATTGCGTTTGCTTGGTTGATTAACAAAATACAAAACTACATTTTTGAGAACGATCTGGTCTTGGCCTACAAGTCTTTGCCAAGTACATTAATGCAACGAATAGCAGACAGGAAGAAAAATTACTAATAATTATATTATGTATTAAAATGATTAGGCACTAAACATATAAACATATATGTATATTATATATAAAGTTGTGTACTCTTGCACTATTTTTATAATAGGAATTCAGATGTTGGTGTTGTGATGTGTTTCTGGCTGCTGTCTTCCAGCACAAGGCGAGTTTGTGCTAAATCATTTACATCCACAATTAAGTATTTATATTCATAGTAACCGGAATCATTCTGAAATAAACGATTTATATAATAACTTTATGAAGAAGAAAACATTAATTTCTTCTTTAAGCAAATAAATATACAAATCTTGCTAATATGTACTTACTTCAACCATTTCTAAAGAACATGTTCCCTTGTGAAAAGCACCTTGCAGATAAAACTTCATTCTCAAATGTTTTTTACCCTGATTATCTAGAAAACCCATATAAGCTGGATGTTGTCTCCTGCCTCTTCTTGTTTCTTCACCATAGGCACTGATAGGTGCTCCTAACTTATCCTCCAATCTGGTTTCACTTAAACATCTTTTTACAGCTGCTGAGAACACATTGTTGGGGCTCATGCTTGAGAATAATTCATTGAATATTGCATAGAATAAGGTGCCAGTTACACCAACTCCAAGTAAGATAATGCCCAAATAGGAAGCTGTTTTCGTTGTTTCCTTGACTTTTTCTCCTAAAGGTTTTACATTTGTGTCTAGTTCTGCTCTTGGAGATGATCTTGTTAGTGATCCACTATTGGAGGATTTTGATGTCTTTGTTGAATACAAACGAAACAATTGAATTAGTGAATACGTTGCCCTCGAATTTGAATAAAGTGAAACTGAGGGTCGCATTAAGGGGGTAAATAATTTTAACATTTTGAGGAAGGATTTTCAAGTTCTGCCGGCGAAGTTCACAATACACTTATTAGGTAACCTATAAACTTCAAAAAGTTCTGGGCAATAACAGTGAATACAATTTAACACTAGAGATTGAATAGGATAATATGAACAAATTGTGTTAATTCTTTCATTTAATGAATAAGAATTCTTTTACGGTAAAGGTGTGCTAAAGCATGATTACATAAATCATTGTGTATGTAACATTTAAACATTTTAGTTATGCGTTTTGCTATAGAGAGCAGCACCTCCTGGACACAAAATCTTTTTGATACACTCACACCTGACCAGTTTGTTGTTGTTCCCAATAAATCAGTTTTAATAAAAACATTGCCTATTATCCTGCAAAATGAATGAAGAAATCGACGAGTCTGAGTTTTACCATCAAGATTTCACCACCGCATCTGAATGGGAGGTATTTATAGCCCGTTTAGAGGAAATAATCCATGAGTGGAAGATAGAAGACAACAAAGCTGACTCGATATGCAAAGAAGAAGGCATATGGAGAATTAAAACAGAAAATATACCTTTTGCTGATGTGGAATTTACCTTTACATACTACTCTGCAAAGTGTGAAGATTCAGAAGAACAAGATGAAGAGGCTAAGGAAGAACTGGAATTTTCCCAACACCCAATGCAAAACTCTTTCGATTTTACATTAAGAGACATTGCCAATGAACATGAAGATATTCTCATTTATTATTGGTATGGTTTACATGACTACATAGTGTTGTCACCAGTTAATAACTCAAATGTTGTATCTGAGAGCAGAATAAAGATTTTATTGAGTTCAGCAAACATAGCAATTGGCAATTCTAACTGTGAGATACCAATCTTTATCCAAGTAAGAGAAAAATGGCAGAAGTATTATCTGGGAGTCTTTGAGTCTGACAATGTCAGAACTAACTTTGAAATGGTTCATCTGCGCCGCGGTCCACAACATTGTCAATATCTCACTGGTCTCACAGATTTATTCAAAACTAAGATCATGTCACCTATACAATTGGAGCCGATTATTGTATCAGTTAAATTCAGTTATCTCCTGAATGATTTTGGCACATATATATGGAAGCAGGATGCAGTTGATTGTGATGTTGAAAACTTTGATGCCAATGCTGTGGTGATGTTACCACTAGGTGTGACAATTGATCCTGTTGAGAGTTTGCTGGTTAAAGCACAGTGGTCGCAAATGCCGGATAATTTGATTGTTGATTCGGAATCGTACACAAATTTTGAACCGATGCAAGCACCTAAATGGACGGTTTTTGCCAATTTTGCGGATAAACCGATATGTTTGCTTGCTGATTGCCTGTCAGAGTTTGTGCATTTGTTGAAAAATGCTGCGACTGTATACGACGTTCTTGGTGATTTTGCCGTTCAACCAGCAGAGAATACAAATCCTTTAGATTTGCTGACTGAACCGAGAGTGCCGACTATTTCCAGCGTGTTGAAACGAGCGGCCAGAAATTCTTTGACTAAGAGCAGTCATGTTCAAAGAAAAGGTTTAGCCCCATTACCTGAAGAGGTTCTAGTACCAATGCTGTACTTTTTGTTTCCTGATGCTGAAGAAAACAGTCCCCATGTGTATTTTACTAATAAGAAGGATGGAATTGAAGAAGTAAGTTAAGAAAAGACGAAAGGAATTGTATTTAATAAAGATTATGTTGCAAATTGTAGGATCCTGCCGCTATCGATGAGAAGTACAAAGGATTCAAGACATGCAAAGTTGATTCGTTGGTTTGGAGACTCAGCATCATTTTGTGCCATGCTTTGTATAGTCTTGGAGGAGCTCGTGCCGTTGCTCATATTTGGTTTGAGTTTGTTCAGGAGATGCGGTATAGATGGGAAAGAAGTATTATGATTCCAGGGTAAGTTAAAAATTTGATTTTTAAAATTTACGTACGATGTCGCAAGGGATCCCTATTTAGTCAATACATGTTGATTTTATTTACAAAAAATATCATATGAAGAAAATGCATGAATGCACACCAAACATAAATCATCTATAAGTTAAATTACATAAAATATAATTCATATTTAGTTGATTAGTCTATCTATTCTATTCGTACTGAAGAAATATTTATATTTACAAAAATATTCCCTATGATTATGTCAACAGCACCAGCACGCCCTGGTCATGATTACTAAAATATATTAATTATTTTGAGCACGCATTAATCTAAAACGCACCGGTGAAATATCTAACTGCTAAGTAAATATACATCTACAAATGAATATTAAAATTGCAATAAATAAGAAATAACAGTGCAAGTTACGCACCGACTTATCTCCCTAGATACTATAAGCTTACTTAAATGCTTTTTTTGCGTCTCTTGGCCATTGCACAGAGTCCAGCATAAAACAGGCAGTGTCGAAAGGCTGTGGCGTGGAAATTCCATCGAAAAGTTCAATAACACATGTGTCATTCGAAAGAACGGTTATTAAAGATTTCAATGTTTTCCACATTCTTATTTGATTAATGCTACTGCGTGATACTATGACAAAAATAAGCGATAAATTATGTCGATTACTTTACCTAACGTTGATGATGACACATCATATAAATTTATCTTAAAAATGATTTCTTTAATGTTTAAACTGTAAGCTAGTTTAAGTGATTACTTAAATCTACACAGACTTAATATGAATTTTGGTAAAACACGTTGCAACAAAGTCCACGCAACTCAATATAGATAATAATGTAATGATGAAGATTGTTTCTCAACAAACTGATGCAAAAGTGTGATTATTATTTATTACTCTCCTGGTGTTTAAAGTCGCCTAAAGTTGTGCTGCCGCAGCGAGCCGAATTGATGCTGCATGGGACGATGGTGGCGTTCCTGCGGCGGCGACGGTGATGGCGGCTGTGGCGGTAATTCTCATAACGGTACCAGCCCGTTGCGCGTCTGATTGCGCGCCATGTAGATCTCCATGTCGTGGTCCGTCCAGTTATCCGAGTTGTCGCAGTAGTTGTTCAGCGTGTGCGTCGACCCCGCCGTGCTGTATCGGCTGGACGGTCGGTGGTGGTCGCGGGAGCGTGATCGCGGTCTGGAACGACGCGTCGATGACGTTACTGAGTGCGTTGGGGGTGCGTGATGCGAGGGTACGAGGTGGTGCTGCGTGCCGCGCGGCATGCGCTCGGATTGCATTGCCAAAGATTGACGTGACTGGCGAAGATCTATGTTGAGGGGTGGAGGGCATCAGAATTAAATCAATCGAATTCTCATCAGGTCTTATTCAGGACTTAGGTCCAGTCTACTTAAAAACGTCACCAATCACGTGCAACTCCGTATCTGGTGCTATTTACAGCAAAACGTGCACAAGGTGTCAGTTTAAACATGGTGGGAATTGGTTAATATGATTAGTTGGGCCAAACTACTCTACTCACTTAGTACTTGGTTAGTCAAGTAGATGTTATCTACTTACTGCAATCATTTTGTAACTGGCAGTATATTACAGGAAGAGTAGTTTAGTTTTGGTTTTCAACGTTTGACTTTGGTACTTTATACATTGGGCGCAGGCATTGGAAGCTTTTTTAGTTCCAGTGGGTTGTATCGCTACCTTGTCTGGACGCCAGCAGATTGTTGGGGAAGGCGTTTGCCGCCGCCAGATACCGCCCCGAGTGGTTTGAGAATGAATGCTGCGATTGTCCATCAGCGATCGATCGCGGTTTGGTGCCCTTGGTACTGAAGTGTGATCTGAGGTCGTCCTGCATCAGGGAGCTGGGCTCTACCGAGTACATTCTCGGGCGTTGTGTGGAGTGGGTGCTGTATGCCGATACTTGGTCCCAATCCTGCAAGTCATACTGAAATTCGAACATCAAACATTTATTGCCGTCTTTGGAATTAATAGACCACTCATAAGTGCGGATGGAGTACCTTGTTGCTATTGTAAGCGTTGAGGGTAGCTAATGATGATAGTGGGCCACCTGGGCTGGCAGCTGCGCAACAATTGACTGGAAGACCTCCAATTGGGAGTCCCGTCTTAATGCCCAGCTTTTGTTGGTGGAGCTCATGCAGTTTCCTAGAGCGGCGTCGTGATGCAGCGATGAATATGATCACAGCGATGACGATAGTGCCGCAGATGGCCGCCGATGCAGCGATGGTGATTTTGTCCATGTTGGATGCTGCTGATGAGACAGTACGCACTTCGCGACATTGCGCATATGGTACCGTTTCGGGTGTCACGTTGATGTCCTCCAACGACACGACACATACGACGATGCACTCCTGTAATTATCAGACTGGTTTGAGACACAGTGAACAAGAACAGTTGCGCAGTTATATGACATATTGGTTGCTGTTGAGCGTTGAGAGTGTCGAGTTCAATGAGTCAGCGAGCCAGCGAGTACCCATTGAATGCTGGCGATTTTTAATGGTCATTGCTGTCTATTATAGTCTTAATCATTTACTGTTCTTTCGCCTATGTTCACTTGCATTAAGCTAACAGGACTCGTGTGTGAATGCGTGTGCAATTCTTATTCTAGACGACCACGCGAGCTTACCAACAAATTGAAAAAGCCAACGATAAATAAGTACCAGGTGTTATAATAAAATACAATATTTTTGAAAATCTCGTATTGGAGCAGAAACTTGAAATTTTTCCACCTAGATTTTGCACACTTTGTTTACATTATATGATTGTCAATTGCATTCGTTTGGGACCCGAGTGCACAACTACTGCATATGGTCCGAATGCTCGTTAGCAGTTTTCTTGGAGGCGCTCACCTCAAGACAGTTAGATTAATGTCAGTATTTTTACGCCGGCGAACGGTACCTCCGGTTTTGCGTTTTGTGCATTTGTGTGCATTTATGCACTCGCACAGCGCGGACAATTATAACTAACATGTTACGCGAGATTATCCGGCCTTCCTCCGCCGTGGTCAATGAGTATGTGTGACGTGTGTCGCGTACTGTGTCCCATGCAATTGCGGACATGCTTGTGTAGTGCCTTTTTCGTCATTGCCATCATTATAGTGTTATTATTGTTTTGTGTAGTTTTATAATAAGTATGCACTGTAATAACAGGAAGATTGCCATTGAGTACACAGAATGTAGTAAGATGTTCATATCCCAATAGATTTTTTATATCTTTGAGCATTTATCTTTTATGTAAAGACTAACCGCAGACATTTATATAAAATCGGCCAGTATTAAACGCGAGATTTTCGATAATTTTCTAGAATTTTAATTCTATATAAAACTTTGCTGACATGTAATTAATCCGATTCATTTTCACGCAGTCATTAATCTTTAATGCTTATTCCATGTGGTGTCATGGTTGACTTAAGATTGAACTTATCAAATTGAAACGCGAAATGTCATAAGTATCGAAAATAGAAACGCGCGTAATAATTTCACTTTAATATCCAATTTTGGAATAATTCCCAGCTATTCTGATGTGTTATGATTCATAATCGTGCCCGAAACGTTCGAAATTAATCTTGGTCGATTTAATTGACTTTGACGGTTTATATTAGGAAAATTACGCAACAAACCAACGCAACAGTACTACCATAATAAATTATTTAGACTATTTTGATTGAGAGTCATGATCATGAATGTGATTGAATTTTAATTGGAATTTATTGCCTTTCGGCGAAGTTTTTCTGTGTTTAGCAAAGTATAAATCTGAGATAAACATCATGAACTGTACAATAAATGTGAAAACAAAGTTTAATTATTTTAATTCAGCGGAAATTACGAAATTTTTCTTACTTGTTTAACGTGTTTTTTTTTGTTACATCTCGATGCAATCAAATAGAAATGGGTGTACAACTATTTAGTCTATTTTGCACTAGAAACGAGAAATGTAATAAAGCAAAATAAGTGATTATCGCTTTATTATTCAAGTCGGCACGCAACGTAAGATGGCGATGGAATGTCATTAATCCACTTCTTGATTAACTCGATAACTCCCTGATATCACGCCTGGTATCTTACTATGTGAAATATTTCTTCGGACGAGATAATTTTCACATGAATGGAATATGCTTGCAAAGTGCAGTTTAATTTCGCCAACTTTACAAATTAAAATCAAATAAGCCTGAATTATGCTAATGAAATCATTGACTTCCTGCTTACAGTGCCATCAACACACTTCTTCTCATCACAGTCATTCAATTAATATTCGAGCGTCTCGCTGACTAATAGCTTAAAATGCAAGTAAACTGCATTGCTAAGTATGTATAGCTAGTAGATACGATTTGTGCGCGAATTGAGATCAGCGCAAACATGCCATCTACGCGCTAACTGTAAAATTAGTCATTTGCTCGCGTTTTCACGATTTAAGTGTGAATATTTAGTTCATCGCCAAGCGCATAATTTATGCGCATGAAAGCTGATACGATTTAATGTTAATTTAGTTCTTTCTCACCTGTGACGGAACGTTTTTAATCTTGAACTCTCTCTCGCTCGCCTCCAAGGGTGGTCCTTGTTTGAAACTCTTGTCGCCGAAGAGACGGTATACCACACGGAAGCCGAGGATATTCGCTGTTTCAGATCCCCAGTTGATGATGACCGAGTTATCTTGTCTGTAGGCACTCTTTACGATGACTTCTTTTTCTTCGTCGGCTTTATTTCTGCTTGGGAAGCCCATTACCAAATTGGGCCTTACTTGTTGTTGGCTTTGATTGGTCCTCCATGGTGGAATAGTTGATCCTCTGGATAAGGTCCTGTTGTTAACTTTTTGTGTGGTTGATGAAGTAGTGGTGGTTTCTTTGACACTTTTAGCTGTGGTGGATGATGTGGTAGTCTGGGTAGTTGTGGTTTTCTTGGTTGTGCTGGTGGTACTTGTGGTTGTTGTGGTATTCTGTTCGGGATTTTTTGTGGTTGTTGTGGATGCTGCTGTGGTTTTTACGGGCATGGTTTCAGCAACGGATACATCATCAAGTTCGGCGGTGACTACTGTAGCCACACCTACCGCTTCATGTGGGCCATTGCAAGTTAACTCTTCAGGTTGAATACTGTAGAAACCGCGATCGCGGAATTTTGGTGGACTTCCACAGAATTGCGGATTTCTCTCGCGACTAGTCACTTGAAGGTCTCCATTGCGGATCCAGTCGATGACCCATGCTAGCCGGCAATCACAGTGGAGGAAACGACCTCCTAAACTTAAACCTCTCAACGTGTTATTGAGATGACTCAGACCAGCATATGGAATCGTAGCTAGAGGATTTCCGTCCAGCGCAAGTAAAGTTATTGAAGGATTACCAACGAATGAATTAACTGGTAAATCAGTCAACAGATTGAATCCAATATCCAAAACCCTCAGTTCAGATAATTCTTGCATTGCCTCAATTGGGAAGTCCGGGAGTAAATTGTTGAGCAAACTTAATGAGCTTAAAGTTCTTCGTACACCATAAAAAGCATTCTGCCCAAGAGTCTGTATCAAATTGCGTTCTAAATTTAAAGCGGTCAAAGCATCAAGCCCTTCAAAGGTCTTAATACCACCTTCTCCAGGTAACTCCCGAATACTATTCTGGGATAAATCCAAAAATGCCAGAGTTTTCATTCCTCTTACTGCTTGTGGGATCTCTTTCTGCCTGGTACCTTTTAAGTTTAGATTCTTTAAAGAACTTTCTAGTCCTTTTAATGCTTCATTTGCTAAGGTAACATTGTTATCCGACAACTTCAAAGTAGTTAATTTGATCAATGTTTGGAAGGCTGCATTAGGTACATTTGCAATTCTATTCCTACTCAAATCCAGTAATTGTAAGCTCTTCAAATCCTTCAAACTTTGAACTGGTACCTCCGTTAAATCATTATCTTGAAGGTTAAGGTTCTTCAGGAATTTCTCCTGACCTTTGAAGGCGTTGTCCCCGATGGTTTTTAACTTACAGCCGGACATTTGGATATTATGCACTTCCAAACCCGCGAAGATCGAGTCTTTTAGGGTACCAATTGTGGAATTGTTTACGTAGAGCAGATCAATTGGTGTTGCCTTTGCGTATTTATGCATTGAGGTGATAAGTTTGGGCCATTCAACGATATCGCACTGTATGCTTAACTCGTGGCCCAGATTGTAGGAGCATAGACACGCTGATTGTAAATCGACTACTTCACGTTGCCAAGGACATTGTGCCGAGGCGGATGAAATTAACATCACGAGGGCTATCAAAACGACCGCAGATTTTTGTTTCATCTTCATTGTTGTGTTTCTGAAATGAGAAATATAAAACAATCAAACGCCTACTCATGAATCGAATTTTAAATTATGATTTGGTTAATATTAAAATTATGGAGATCCGTAGGTTGTTTTTATAGTATTATTATTGTTTTGACATCACTTATTAGCAATTAAGTTCTCTAAAACTTAGTTTTATATGTCAAAATAACTTTCTAAGAACATCACGTTACATTGGCAATTAACTAATTGATAAACAAACAAACATTGTTTCAATCCATCTCTGGTACCATATTATTTACGATTATTGTTGCAATAATTAAGCACGCCTGCCACGATTCTGCAAAACGACACATTTCTACAACGCTCCTCTCTACTTTGTCTTCTTTCACTCTTGTGTTGTTTTCGGTCGTATTTCATACTTCATATGCATTGCTCTACATACTAGAGCGTTCCAAGTAGTTGACTTTGATAAACGGCCCAAGAAAGCGATACGACTTTTATTCGCGCTCGTGCGCGTAAAACCCTTTCCTATGTTTCTTTCGCGATCGCCGACATCAAAGTGATTCTACGACGTCTTCCGAAAGCTACGAATTATTAGCGCTCAAAGGCGAGGTGAAGGTGAACAAGCGGATCGCTCATGAATGTACCGCAGAAAATTGTTCAGACAGTTGCAAGTGTTATGTGTGTATGGAAGCTATAGCATTAACATAGTGGCTTATTGTTGGGCCGTGCATAAATGAAAATGTTTTCGCCCGAAGACGATTTCGAAGTGCACGAAGCGTGCACAATTTGTTAAACAAAAAGTTTTGAATGAAATTGAAAGAAATGGAAAGAAACAAAATAGAATGAGTTTAGGAAAAAAGTTAAATAATGGAGGAAGAAAGCGACTAATCACTAACTATGTTAGTAGTCACCGTGTCGTACTATTTACATATTTTTTGTTGTTGTTCTGCCAATTTTTATATTTGCGCGCAGTAGTGCATTGCATTACTAATTTTTGTTCAATATTTACATTGCACGTCCGTGAACTTGAACTAAATTTACGTTTTCGGAAATTAGGTTTCAAATGCGTCCTGAATAAATAATTAAAAATAACTGTTTTAATGAATTACATATTTTGAATTTTCTTCTACGCGCAAAATCAAATTTATTGTGATTTATGTTATAAAGATAAATTTTCACTTTCATAAGCTTCAATCATGAATTATGAGTAGGTGCAACAAGACAGTAAACTATAATGAGCATTTCAATAAATCCTTTGGTATTTGTCTTGACTTAACTTAAGCACGCCTTAAATTTAGTTTATGCACATGTCTTGCTGAATATTCAATTGGAAAGGTGTGCAATTGCAATTTAAATTTCAATATTTATATTATTTAAGTTTGGCTTGTCTTGACTTAAGTCCTGAATTGGCGTGACTTGTCTTATACATTATCAAGTGTTGGTTGGCGGTTACGTGTCGATTGTAAAAGGTGTGATGACCAAAGCCTCAAGAATGTTCTATTCAGTTATTTTGCTCAACGTCAAGTTACTCACACATTTTCAAAGAGAATGTGTGTTCATATGTGCAATTTATTTTATAATCTATATATATAAAATTTGCGTGTCACAGTGTTTGTTTCCATACTCCTCCGAAACGGCTTTACCGATTTTTACCAAATTTTATATGCGTATTCAGTAGGTCTGAGAATAAAATCTGAATTTAAATCAATTTTATTTTTAATGCGAGCATATCGAAAATCCAACGTTTGCCCGGTTAAATCGAATGTAAAAATCCCAAATCGAATGTAAAGTAAAAAAATATTTAAATTCATGACCCATTGAACTGTTTCCATTGTAAAGTGACTTTAAATTGAGTTAAAATTGTTCAACAGCTATAAACGTACCTGAATTACAAATAATGGTATTATTTCACACACTATTTTACAATGTCACGTAAAGTTCACATCAATTTCGAAGTAAAGTGTTAAGCCAAGTCACACCTTCATAATATCCTCTTTGGCGTGAATCTAACGTGCGTGCTTTTTAAAGAGTTGTGTTAAGTAACACTTTAAACACAATACTTAACTTTTTAAAGAAAGAAATAATACTTACAGTTTAGAGTAATTTGTTTGGTTTAATTGTTGATAGCAGATTTCACCACTTTATCTTCTTGTCATTCTATTGGTTAACTTTTGATCAAGTCCAAAAAAAGATCGTAAAATTGAACACTCGAAATATTTAACTGTCGTAAATTGATCGGTCGCACTTTTATTTTTTTATATATTCCACGAACTTTTTGGTCACCGAGTTCTTTTTTTAGTCTTGTCGGTTGTTGTCGATCGAATCGAATATTGGCAATATGTTGAGGTGTATTATTCGCGCAGGTAGACGCGCCGCAGGCAATGGGTGAACAGCACGTCGTAAAGCTTGTACCGTTACAGTTGATTAACCTGCAAAATAAAGAAACGAAAAAAATTAGTATGGTGCTCGCGATGACGAAGTCTTCTTTACCATTCAGAGCGAAGGCGTATCAATATGTAAAAAAAATATTGCTTTAACTTTAACTACAAACACGTTAAAGAAGCAATAACAACCTGGTAGTCTGCTGGTAATTTATGTGAAGCTATTTCGCAATCACAATGGATAAATAATGGCAAATCGCTGGGTTGTATTCTTATTATTAGCACTCGCACTGACTTAGTAGGTACATCAGTCATTAGTGACTACGTTTCAATTTGTTCAAGAGTTTCAATTGAATTATAATTTGTTGCAATAACACGAGTTAGAGCACACGAACAGGCTCAAGTTCATTCACTCGTATTGCTTTAATTTATTGTTTTTGTAATTATTACTCTAGACTCGATGAGTTTCAAGAAGCGATGTAAAATTGTTATTTAATTGAGAACTTATTACGCAATATTATTTGCTATTTAAGCAATATATTTATATATTTATTTAATAAAAATAATTATGGTTTACTTTAATCATCAATTAATTAAAAAATATAAAACTAATCTAAAATAATCATGATTATATTTGTTTGTTTTGTTTGACTTTGATTGACTATGCATTTTCAATCCAGATTGAGATTAATATGCGGATGCAAAAGTTAAGTGACTTCCTGGCATGCGGAAGTCGCCATTTTGTTATAATGGCGCCCGGCCCATGAGTAACAATGCTGTAAGACGACTTTATCGAATAATGCCGGAAGAATTATGAAATTATACGAAGATACGAAGAAAAAGCGCAATAGAAGAATAGCAGAAATAACCTCCGCACAGATTGTTTCGAACGAATTGCATGCGGATGGGAATAAAAAAATGAAAAATGATGATGAATACCCAGATGAACTCACTCACTCCTAGTTCATTTGCTGTTGTAACAAGTTCAAGTGCATGGATTATCTCATTTAGTTTAGTTTAATGCACAACAAACACTTCTAGTTTATATTCTTATGAGAACTTTAAAGGTTATATGAATACAAGAATAAAGCAAATGTTAAAACAGTTTATTTATCGTTTTAGTGACATTAAAGAACTAATTTAATAAAACACATAAAGGTGCTATTTTTACGACTTGTAAAAAGTTATGTTTATTCTTTTGTCGCTGTTAATCCCTGTCGTTTTGTCACCTTGCGCTTTGTTGGTGATGATGATTACAAAAATATGAAATATACTCTGTTAAAGTATATTTCAACAAATCTTTTATTTTTATTACTACTACTGCATATGTCATGCACTAGGTGAAATACAGTATAATTAAATATAATTATTTTTAATGGTTGTGTCGATGTTGATGTTGATGTTGTGAATATCATGATTGAATTATAAATAATGGACATAATCGACACCACTCAACATAATAATAGTTCTTTATTAAAATGTCATGTTATAAATAAAACAGGGCGTTATTTTTACAGTAGACTAGTGTTTTGGATGATGACATTTAAGTCTTAAGCTCATATCTTAAGAATGATTGAGAAATCACATTGATATTAAAATTATAAGGTGTGTTAATCACTTGTTGAACTTTTTAAATAACAATTTGAATTGTAATATTCGAAATATTTAGAAAGTTTTTAATGTTGTGGAAAATCTGACACGTCCGGATATTAAATTAAATTTAAAAATTTTACTGTTTTCGATGTGTAATAATTTAATCTGTCAATTAATCTTGCAGTAAACTATATGACCATAATTGAAAATCTTCAAGTTGCAACTTTCGGAGTAGATGCAACAAGTGAGATCATGAGCGAAGTGAAAAGTTAACATAAAACCTGGCATCTTATCTTTTCCTGTTTTGCCATTTTACATTTTAATGCTTTGCTCATTTCCCATTCGTAGTGGAATTGGTTCCTACTTGTCTAATTGACTAATTAAATAAATAAATATAGTTGAATTAATGTCGGAATGCAAGAAATTATAATTTTATGTAAAAATCCTTCAAAATATTTAATTTTTGAGTCAAAATTTACTTAGAATCTAAAAGCAAAATTCTTGATATTCCGATGAATCATTTTGATTTTGAATTGAGTGAAAGAGTTTACTCGTGGACAGTCATCAAACGCATGAATTTATATATTCTATTACTTTGTACGCTCAGTCACAGCATGTACCAGAATGTACGTAAAACGTTGTTCAAGTTAGTTCAATATTTACGAGAGTTGAATTGAGATTTTAGTGCGTGGAAAATAGATTTGTAGCAAACATTGCGCTCGACATACATGAATACATGAGTACAGATACTGGTTCAACGAGTTGTACGCGGAAAAGGGCCACTTTTACTTTTATTCAAATAATCTCGTTCGCATGCTCTATGCACCATGCAGGCATGTGTAATGATGGCGCGAGCATGCCGTGCACTTAGTTGATAAAAACTAAACTAGTTTGCGAGTCATGGAGGATTTAGTGCAGTCATAGTGTGGGAAAATCAAGATGTGAACATGTGCAATCATTATAACTTTAATCGCCAGTCAATATAAACAAAAAATGCTGCATGAAATGAATTAACTAATATTTTTAGTTTGATTTATTGTTAATTAAGAATTATCCCACATTGCACATTTGCACATTCCTCATACACCGGTTCAATTTTAATGCCGCGCCTTTTTTCTGCAATTGTGTAATTTCATTGTAAATTGATTACAACACAATTTAGGTGTAAAGATTCGATGTCATATGTTTGTAGTTTAGTTTGTTCAGGTGTTCTTATTAGTCTATTAGTTAATTCTCTATTGTGTTTGCGCAATAATGGAACACGAGAAAATTTGCCTACGGCAATGTCGATACTGGTACTCTAATGAAGACTTAACTTGAGGAATTGAGGTACGGCTTGGATGTTAATTTTAAACGATGCGTCCTTGAGTGTCCTAAATAACAATTATCTAAATGATGCAACGAAATAAAGCCACTTGAGATGCGCATGAATCGTAAATTGTTGGCTTGGTTGTTGCAAAATTCGAAGAGTAAACCTCCATATAAACACTTTAATTTTATGCAAATTATATGTTAGATTTTTTGTTTGTGCAACATTTTATTATGATATTTATAATTATTTATGCTCTAACAATTCCAGCGTTTGTATTATTAAGCATTGAATCTGTTTTTTTAATAATTCCGTATTTATTGTGTACTTTTAATTAGCAAACGAAATATTAGTGAATTTACACTGACTTAAACAAGTGATATTCGTATAAGTATGTGTTAAGCAAGAATAAATCCAAAATTTCTTCTTAGATGACGCTAGGATGCACTTATTTGAATTAAATTCGGCAAGGTGACTCTTCCGAATATGGTTTCTTAGTATCACTTGTTTGTTTGTTGCAGTAAGATAAGTGACGAATCTTTCTACCTGCACAATGAATTCGAATCTTAAAATAATTGGCAGTTTATTTCTAAGTAAACTTTAAGACATTCTAAGGCCGTCATTGAATTTAATTCGTTTTTAAACGTTGCATCTTTTTTAAACATCACGAAACATATTTAAGCTAAATATTAGCAAGTAAAAAAGTGCAGATTCACAATACCATGTAATGTCAAACGTGACTTCTGCGCTACCTTAACTTCAATGTTTTGCTAGTAAAAGTAAAATGTTTATAGAATATTAAAATGGTAAGACGCTAATAATTACGATAGACGTAGATAATTATATTTAATGCACTTTTTTGGTCTTGTTGTTGTGGGATTTGTTTAACATTTTTAAATGTGGTATAATTAATTAGAATGGTACAAAGCATTTGTAATAAAAACTTTATAAAAAATTAGTATTAGTTCATGTCGAAGCAAATGGCGATTGCACTTATATAAATGCATGGGCGTCACTTAATGCATTCTCATTAATCACTTTCAAGTTATCTTTATAAATATTTAAAGTAGTGGCTACTGGTATTTATTTATGCGCGGCGATAACACATGTTAAAGTTATTGATTCAAATATTGCCTCATTTACCAAGAAGAAACTAATATCAACAACTCCAGTTTCAAGTCTTTGGTTCTCTAGTCCTTCTCATTATTCCAAGTAAATACGTTTGCATAACTAATTTGAACTTTTCAACTTAATTGACAAACAAATATGATAATTGTCTTTATTCCTCTGATAAGTGTCTTACACAATATATTTACCCACGAGTAGATGCTTATATCTTCGTTTAGCTAATCTAACAAAACAATACAAATAAAACGATATTAATTAATTATAATAATGTTTAATAAAGTTGCACTAGTTTTTTATGCGGTTACATGTGTATGTTTAACGTTTATTTTATTACAATTATAATTATAATGATTAACTGACTCGAACAATAACAAATTAAACTCTCTTGCGCATATTTCTCATTTACGCACTTAGTTTGGTTACTTATAACAGTAAATGAACAGTTTTTATAACAGCCAGCCGGAATGCGAGAATACCACACGCGGTATATTAATTTCATATTCAAATATGAGGTCGTAATTTATGGCTTTGCCCGTAATATATTACGTGTAAAAAATCGGCTAGTGATAGCTTCTTAAGAGAACAAACAGCCTTGATGATACATTTCTATTGAATTTCGTTCTGAAGTTGTTAATTCGAAATAGTTATCACATTTTAAGTCGAGTTACGCTGTTTGTTTATTAACTCTTTTAAATGTCATATTTGAATAGAATACATCTGTGAAACCATTGTATGCTTGGTTGATGTGAACTTGAACTGATTTTGTGAATGAATGTTCATTCTTAATTCATTCTTGTTTCTGTTCTTGTTCTCTGTCTTTATTGTTTGCGGTGTGATAAGACAATTAAATATTTTGACGTTTGTGTATTGCCTCATTCAATGGAATAAATCAGTTTATTATTCTGTTTGTGTGACGTCAAGGAATGTGTTTTGATTTATTCACGTCGGTTTCTCACCTGCGTAATTAACAGGTTATTGTTACAGTTATTTGACTTTATGTCGAATTTACGCATATTGC